GTCGAGCCAGAGACGCGCGCCACCCAGTGTGTCCGACGCGAAACGTCGTCACTTCGGAGGTCACGGCACGGACATAGCCGGCCCACCGGGCGCTGCCAAACACCCACGACGCATCCGTGGCCGTGAAATTCACGACAGCGTCTTTCCGGTCCGCGAGCACCGGTCCCTAGTCCTCTCTATAAGCTTGGAGCGCGAAACGATGTTGTCCGTGTACCCGGCCTGTGGCGTCGGCAAAGTACTGGCCCCGTAGCCCACCCCGGTACAGTTGCTCAAAGTGCATCGTGTAGTTCCCAGCAACGGTCGGTGTCCACGCAGACGCGGCCAGAACGCCGGGTGCACTTGTCGCCACCAGCTCGATCGGCGCAGTTCTGTCCGTGTCGACCACGTTCTTGCTGCGCCAGACCGCGAAGGCGACAAGCGGGGCCGGCGCGCCGGTCACTGAGATGGGCACAGTACTACCGGCCGTCGCCGTCAACGACACGTTGGCATAGAGAGGGGCAGGGTAGACGCCGCCGAGGATCTCGACGGTCGTCGTGCGCTGGTCACCGATCGTGGCACCATCGGACGGGGCGCGCAACTGGAGGCGGAACGACCGGTTCTTCGCGACGGGGTTTGCATGCACGGTGACGGCAAACGTGAGGCGAATGACGCCGGGCGGGAACGTCAGGCGCTGCGACGTCGTGTAGTACGCCGTCGGTGACACGTCGGACGGCGTCGTCGTCACATGCGTCAGCTACAGTCATGGTTCTTCAGTCGATAGAAACGGCAGGACGCACTTCGTAGAGGAAAGAGACGGCACCGGCGCCGCCACCGGTGCGAACGACGGTGATCGGAACGACCGTTGCCGACTCGTTGATGGCGTACGACGGTGACGCAAAGGTGATCGTGCCGCGATGGCCGCACACGACGTGGCTCGACGGTGCGCCGATGCACTGCCAGGACGCGTCGCCGTTGCCGCCTTGGGTACACGCCTGCGTCGCCCCCAGCGGCGTTGATTGCAGCGTATACGGTTCCTACACTCCGTTTGCATGCAGATCTTTGACGTCGATGCGCCCACCGTCTCGTCAAAGGCGTAAGGCGACTGGGAGCCAAAACGGCCAAGTGAGAAAACTCTCGGGCGACCTCTTCGGGCGGCATCGGCCAGGGGTCTGTGGCCCGCGGTCCGCTGCGCTTGACCGAGTTGAGGTGAAAGTCGGCGCACGCGAGGCAGCGCTGGGCGTCGCAGTCGCGGCAGCGCGGATCGTAGACCGTGCAAGGGACTAGTTCCTGTGACGACAGTATCCCGCACGCTGAACTACGTACCGCAGCGGTTGGTTGATGTGCTCACAAAGTAGCTCTGGATGCAGCGAAGGCAAGTGGCGCCAGTGCACGACACACAGAGCGCATCGATCGCCGTGCAGGCCGCTACGTCACGCATGACAACCGCGCCGATCGAGCGTCAAAGGAAGATATACGCTGGCCGCAGTCGAGCCCGACCCGAGACGGGCTGCAGCTGCAGATGCCCGTCGCATAGTCGCACGTGCCTTGGCCAGAGCAGTCGTTCGGACAGCTGCCTACACGCGCCGCCTCCATACGACCGACGACGTGGATGCATCATGGAACGTACGTTTGGGGTAGCAGAGGCCGCCGACCGCAAAGTACTCTGGGATGCAAGCCGTGCAGTTGCGCCCCGTGTAGCCCTTGTTGCAGTAGCACGTGCTCGAGCGCCGATCGCAGTAGCCATACTCGCGCCCGACGCAGTAGTACTCACCGTCGCTAAACGGCCCGACCATGCCCGGGCACGGCACTACGACGTTGACGATCAGGAGCAGACAAGATGATCACTTCGTCTACACGAGATGGCGACGCCGCCCCACTGCGTTGGCTGCTCGGGGTGGAAGACAGCGCCCGGGTTGATGTGCTCGCGGAACGACGTGGTGGCTGGGTTGCCATAGTAGCCGACGTTGCCGCGGGCGTACGGGCCAAACACGGCAGGCGGTAAGCCACTGAGCACGCTCACGTCAGTCGCGTTCAATAGCCGGAACGCGCCGCCGTCCTTCGCCAGCAGCAATAGCAGCAGTAGCAGTAGTCGAAGCAGTTGTTGCATGGGGATCCCCATCGTCAAGCGTTGTTGTCGCGCCGCTTCGGGTGTTATGCCACTCGATCTAACAAGCCATGCTGCGTGTTACAAGCGAGTTTGCTGTGTTCAATCGTCGATCTAACGCCCCGCTCCTCCTGTTACAATCGAGATTGCCGTTTGACCAGTATGCGCACCACGTGGCAGCATGGCCTGACGGCACAGGTCAGTCAGCCGGTCAGTCGGGCACCGAAATTCAATCAAGTCCACTTAAGTCCACCGGATCGACTGGAACGATGAGACGAGAAGACTTGATCGCAGACGGACGCATCGAGTGGCCAGAGTCACGTACTGGACTGCCCACAATCGCTGGCAAAAGGGCCATCGATTGCCCAGACACACTTCCGAACACGAAGTCTCTCTGGGCACCGAGTCGTCGAACGATGGGAACGTCTGGACTTACTTTACGGTTGGACGACGACGACATTCTCCTGCAACGATAAGGTGCGAGCTGACGTAAGTGGTCGACGGGCCAACGCCAGCGCTTGGCGCCAGCGCAGGTACTGGCGCCAAGGAAGCCACGTCGCTTGTGAGTAACGACGAGATCACGCGCCGCGCCAAAAGCGCACCTGGCCGCAAAGCCTCTGCGGTCGCGCCGCGAAGCTCGGCGGTCACGGCAACAATGCGCGATGCTGTGCTGCTGCGCACGGCGCCGCCAGGATGGCGCAAAAGGTGCGCCTTGGCGTATCTTGGTGCTGATACACATGAAAGGTGCGCTTTTATAAAACAACCGGATTCGAAGCCGCTCCCATCTGGTCGGTACTAATCGGCTAATCGGCCACCGCTCTTGTGGCCATTTCCGCATTTTACAAACCGCGCAACATGACCATGATGAACGACGCCGACGCGACGTGCAAGTACACGTACAAGCCGTGCATGAACCCGCGCTCGACCAAGCGCAATGGAAAGCCGCACCTGCTTTGTGAGTTTCACCGCGCCAAGGCGAACGCGATCCAAAAGGCGTATGCGACCAAGAAGCGTCTCCACAAGCAGGCGCAGCAGACGCAGGCGACGAGTCCGACGGCGTCCGATGAGTTCTGGGCGTCCATGAACCTCGACGACCACCAGTGGTCGCTGCCGATGGACCTGACCAATCTTGACGACGACGATGTGCCGCTCACGGCCGAGGACTGCGCGATGATCGCCAATCTCTTCTTCCAAGAGCACACGGTCGTCGAGCTGTGATGGCGCAGCGATACCTAACTTAAATACTACATACACATCTTCCTGTCATTTGTATGCGTGGACGGCTACTTGCCACGGGGTCATAAGATACAAAGCATAAGATACAAAGCGACCTACTATCAGCGAGCGCTATCAGCGAAAATGGCAGTACTCAAGTTCGGCTCTGCCCGCTATGATAGCTCCGAGCGCCGTCGTCGCGAGTGGCAACGCGACCGAGAGACCCTTGGCACTTTGACGAGGTCTGCATGCATCCAATGGCGCGGGCTGCACATCGTCCTTGTTGGGGCTGGAATATCGGTTCAGACGGTCGAATCTGCGCAGGAGCGGCGTCTCTTTGACGCTACCTTACTCCCGCGTTTATGCAACGGTGCACCCCTCGGTGCGACCGCCCGACGTTCGTCTCGTCCCAGCATTTGTGGTCGGAAGTCCGCCGTTACCAGCTGCTGGTGCGATTCATGTTTCGTACTACTCTGGCACCCATGCTGGCGGTGTTGGCTCTCGCCGCCAGCCGCACTTTGAGCGGGCTGTCAAAGTTCTGTCTGACATGAGCTCCATCAAGTATTGAAGCGTCGCTCGAGAGGGCCGTGGCGGCAGGCGCGCTGCGCGTCCGTTGCCGCTCATCTCCGCCGACCGGTATCATGCCTCATGGATTAATTTTGTATGAGGTCAGCAACTGAACCTATCATATTTTTCATAGGGCCCCCGTCGCACCCAACGGCGCAAACGCGTTCGAGACGGGGGGAGGTCCCATGGAGTCGTGCCACTCCGGACACGCCCAACAAGCAAGCAATCCGTGACACCGCGCCAGCCAGGTACTACACCTTAACACGTCTAAGAAATTGCCTTCATACGTCAATTTACCTTGAAGAGCAAAGATCAAACGCGATGGCACCGACGACGGAAACCTGCAAGTACACGTACAAGCCGTGCGGCCACCCGCGCTCGACCAAGCGCAACGGCACGCTCCACCTCCTCTGCGAGTTCCACCGCACCAAGGCCAACTCGATTCAGCGGGCGTATGCTGCCAAGAAGCGACAGCGCCAAGCAGGAAATGAGGTGCCGCCGCCCGTCGCCGACGCCATGGAGCTCAGCTTGCCCATGCCCGACATGGCCTTCATTGACCAGCTCATCAGTGACGTGAGCGACCTCAGCGACACGACCTCTCACTCGTCTTGGAATGACGACGAGCTCGTGTGCGAGTTTCTTTGAGCGACACCCGTCTTCTATTTATGCGCCCACCGACCTTCTCGCGTAAGATTGGTATATTATGAACCATACTCTTTACATATTTTCGAGTCGAGTCTTCGCGACGTGCCTTCGACAGCATGGGCCGAGGCCCTTGATGACAGCAACAACTCGGTCGTTGTGGCTCATCGAGGGAGACGAGACATCAGAGCCAGCCTGCTGCATCAGAGCCACGCATGGGCTGCTTGCGTGCGCTGCGACAAAGTCAACATGGCCGTCGATAAGGCATGTGGATGGCGTCGTTTCTGCAGAAGACGTCAAGCCACTCCATGCTACGTTCCCGCGTGCGAGGACGTCCCTGCACTTCCTCGCATCCCCGTTAAGTGCTACAGTGGTCCGTTTACGCCAGCCAGCTTCGCCAGCGATGGTCTCACGGCAAAGTGCGTATCATGGTCTGCGACTGTGCGGCCGTGCGTGCGCCAGAAGATACCCTACAAGCCGACGCCACAGTGGGATGTAGATGGAGCATCTGGTCGCACCAATCTCTACAGACTCTACTCATCATCAAGTGCGACAGCGTACACCTTACAGAGTGTCCACAGCTGAGTCACGGGAGCATCCGGGTGCCGTTTCCCAGGTGTAACTTCGTTGAGAAAGATCACTTGTGTGCGGCTGGGAGGCGTGCATGGCGCAAGATGTACGATAACGCTGTCCTGGTTGAACCCGTATGTTGGTGTTGTCTTTTACTCGTGTATTGATCTACACTACTGGCTTCATAAAGATGTGGCGCTCCTTCGTCGCGGCGTCTTTGGTAATGAGCCTTGCAAGCGATGAGGCAGTTGGAGCAGGCATGGCAATCGTGTGATGAACGATGTAGCGCATGTCTTGAAACAGAATATTAAATAAAGATTGTAAAAACAAACGGGTCGGGAAGCAGCCACCGTAGCGATGTTTAGTGTACCGTTGGACTTTTGGTTGGTCATTTCGGATGCTAGATACAACTGTGACGACCGATATTGAGCAGCATCGTTTCAAGTTTTTTATTAATACTGCTGTATACATGGCTGTACTTTCATTTGTACTAGTACAGCGTAGTTTTACGAGCCGCTCGCGTGGTTAGTAAGCGCACACAAGTATGATCGACACAGAAATTTTTCGATGTTTCTTGATGGTGGTATGGACTACCTTGGCGATGTATTATAGCACGGCTACTGAGCTCCTGCGTAGTGCTCGCTAACGTGCTTGGATTATCGCCCGTCATGCTAGTCCTTATCGTCTCGGCGTCCACCCATGTGCAAAGTGCCTACACGATGGTACACATGGTATATGTAGCATATACGCAAGACGAGGCCTTGATTGTTGTTGTTGAAGTTCGTCTTTTAGAAATGGTAGAATTATTTACACTGAATTGTTTACGAGGCCTCGGTTGGATTGTGTGCTCGACTGCAGGCACCAGCATCGTTGTTGTTGTTGTTGAAGTGAGTCTATTTAGATACCATTTACACTGAACTGGATATGGTGGTGGATTATCGATTCCAAGGTGCTACGACGAGCCGGCCGCCGAGAGGCTTAGCCGAGCGGGAGACGTGGCGTGTAAACGGCACATGCCGGAACAAAGTTTTCGGCACCAGCATCGTGTTAAACTCAATCTTTTTACTTTCATATACTCGCCGACCTGCAGTGGTGCATGAATAGTTGGATCGCCGAGTCGTAGACACTTTTTATTTCCTTCGTCGCACAAATCATCGCACCATTCCCACCCTCGCAGAATGCTTTCGACCCCAGCGTCTACAAACGCCGCGCGCTGGCCTCGATCGCTCGGTGGACCGCAAATGCGACGGACACGTCCCCATTCCACCCTCAATTGGCTCGTGACAAATATTATTTGTCTTGAAGGCGCGGCAAATGATCGGCTATAGCTAGGGGAAATTATTCAAATGATTTTCGCGTTCCACACCAGCGTCCAAAGCGTTTTGAAATCACTCTACCATTTGCCCCCCGTGCCCTTATTGGCCATGGAGCGCTGCCAGTATACGTACAAGGCGTGCCCGCACCCGCGCTCGAAGAAGAAGAATGGCCAGCTCCACTCCTTCTGCGAGTTTCATCGAACCAAAGCCAATGCGATTCAAAAGGTCTACGCTGCTCGCAAGCGACTTCGTGACGCGGCCGAGCTGCGCCCTCTGCAGCATGCACCCCCGGTCCCGACCTTTGACCTCGACGACCTTGAATTTCTGCGCGAATGGCTCGACGACGACGACGACACCAGAGGGACGTACAACGAGCTGTCGTGGGACGACGTTGCGAGCATGCTTGATAATATATAAGTACAATAAATTTGCTTTAGATTAGATGGGTCTTATGCTTGAAATGGCACAGACGCGCTACAGATCGCCAATGTACAGCACGCTGGGATCGTGCACGCTAAGGTACCGGTACTGTAGTAATGGAGACTGATGGGGCAGATGCGCGAGACACGTGCGGTCACTAAGCAACCGCATTTCCTGACGAGATCTTTCACGTTACGTCACAAGGGTCCATCGTGGGTCAGGTTTCTCAGTACAGGTCACGGTTGACGATTCTGGAAGCGCTTCCGCATCGAGCGAGCAAAGCTTGTAGTTGGTATGGTTGGATTCCTAGCTCAAGTCGCCGTTTAGTAACTATAAGGTAGCCGCGAACTGAGCCCAACTGACCATGTGGCGTCAGTGTGCGCGAACTACAGACGCACCTGTGGGCCACGATGTTGCCATACGCGTCTAAAATGGAAGTTGCACTTGGGGTTCGCGCACTGTGGCGCGCGAACGGCCAATCGTGGGATGGGGATATGACGTGTTTACGCTGGTGCATGTCCCCGTATTAGTACCGGTACGGTCGTCGTGGAGTTGCCCTTCGCTGGAACGACGTAGTACGTGCAGCCCCGCTACCTTGTACGTGAACTGGATGCGACTTTCTTTACTAATAAGCAGTGCTCGCGCCTGAATCGCACTACTGACTACTCCTTCTTCTTCCAACGTGGTGCATCCTCACGACTTATTCTTTTAACGGCTACATGGCGGCCACACCTTCGTGTTTTTGCACGCCGCACTGGGTTAGGGAAGCAAACTCGACTCAAACTCGCTACGACTGACAATAAGTTGCTGTCTCCACGATTGATGTCCTCCTTTGAATTGGGAACCTGAGCTTGTGAGGCCTATCAGATTTGAAATGCGTCTGGCAAATTTCAGCTGGCCATCGGCGCCAAGTTCGGGCATGGTCCCCACGGCGCCGGTGATTATGAACCCCTCGCAGCTGCTGTGAGTAATTCTATCGTATGGGTCGCCATTCCAACCCCACCAAATCGAGAGTTTGATGTGAGTTCCAAGGATCATTCATTTTCCATTTGTCCGTGGTCTCCACACTCTTACCGATTATTGACAACTATGCACCGCAAGCCTTCCAAGCAATCGGCCGACCTCGCGCTTTGCCAGTACACGTACAAGCCGTGCTCGCACCCACGCTCGACCAAGCGCAACGGCGCGCTCCACCTCCTCTGCGAGTTCCACCGCACCAAGGCCAACCGCATCCAGCAGGCGTACGCAGCCAAGAAGCGCCTCCGCCAAATGGAAGCGTTCGCGCCCGCGTCGCCGACGTCGACGGATACGACGTGGCAAGCGGTGCCCGAGCTCACGTTTTCACCCGACGACTTGCGTGCGATCGAGGCCATGACCTTTGCTGAGCCGTCGGACCATGCTGCCGTGCTCGAATCGGTCTTTCGTGACTTTTTGAGCGACCCCCTCGACTGCTACAGCCTCTAAGCACGGCACCATTTAATTTAATACCTAGACTCCCTTGTACTCTTCGCACAGTCAGCTATTTTGTGAATGTTTGCAAAAACAAGCAGGACCATCTTAAGTCATCGGCATGTGCCTGACTGGTCGATGGGCACTCGATGGAGATCTAATCAAGGTCGGGCAACGACGATGAGCTCCGAACGATACGCGCCGAGAAGCTGGCTACTCGCCCGTGAGCTTTCTCTGGAGCGTAGAGGGATACCTACTACGTTGTTCGGCTGGCATGTAGCAGAGAGTATCGGGGCAGTGCCAGAATGTGTCGCAATGCAGCGAGAGGGATAAGACACCAATTCTCGCTGCTGCGGGGGCTCTGCGGGTGCGTCGACACGAGCCGGTCAAACCCAACGCTCGTTGGTTTTCGGACGTCACAAGTACGTCGATGCAGAGAGCAGGGAGCATGCTGGCAGCACGACGCCCGAGCAGTCGATATGGCAAAGCATCGACTGCTCGGGCGTTGTGCGGCAGAGTGCTCTACGCACCCGATCCATCCGAGTACTGCGAGTGCATTTACATACACTTTTACGCTACTCTGTACGGTACGAGCATATCCTGCGCGTGCATTCGGGAAGAGCAAGATGCAGTTGCCTCGCGTTGCTTCGAAGGACGACAAGGTCTGCTTGGCTGTATAAACGGCCACTCCGCGCTCACCTGAAGAGCCAATCGTCCGTGCTGCGTAGCAATCGTCTGCAACCGTGCAGCCGCCCTGTGTCGCAGACAGACTTTATCTGCAACTCCGTGGTGCACTTCAACTGGTCTTATCGCCGATAAGACCAGTGCTATACAAAATGCGCAAAAACGTAATGTTCATGCTCTCGCCACGCACCCAAGATTGTGCGTACTCCATCGCACCGCCTGGCACCGACTCGCAAGTTGCGAGCCAACCGCAAAGGCTTCGAACTTCTCGAACCTACTTTTTTCCATTCAAATGGATAGAACCAACTATTAATAGCTGCTGTTGGCGCCTGCGACGAGCGCTCGTTCGCAGTGAGCTTCGCAGTGTCTCGTCATCAACAACTGGCGTCCAAACTGCAACGGGCGCATGACGGCTGCGTTCTGTTTGGGCTCGCGCGAAGCCTTCGGTGCCGGTAGCGCAACGGTGCATATTACTCGTGCACACGTTAGGGACGCATTGCTTTTGATAACGCTGTACTAATACTACATTATTTACTTGGTGAATAGTAAAGTGCAGCTCAAGTAGCTTCAAGCGGCAGCAACATTTCGGCGCAACGTTGAAGCACTTGGCCTCGATAGCGGACAGGGGCAGCTGCTAGGGGCTGGTCGACCAAGTCTCAAGCGCCCGCGCAGGTACCGGTACGTAGGTGACGACGAACTGGTACAGTGCTATGTGCCCACGGACCGGAGCTGATGCGGGCCACAAACTGATGCGGGCCACGGCCATCGCGCGTGGAGTCTCTCCCAAGATGACCTGTCCCAGGATGTCCATTGTGACAGCCACGACTTCCTTGCCAGCTGGTGCGTAGAAAGCCAACGCGTTGCCTGAGTCTCCACCAACAGACGCTGCCTCGACCACAAAGTCGACGAAGTCGAGTTTGCACAAGAGTTTGGCCGCGTGTCTATGCAGATGATTGGCCCCACTTTTCAATGCACTCCAAGTTACTTCGGAAGTACTACTTGCATGTAGGACGACTCCGCTATCGTTCCGGTCGACCGATGATCGCACCACAGCTCGTGTTTCGAGACGTGCCGCGAACGTTATGCGAGACGAACAAGTCGCGCGAGGGTCTGCGGGCATATGGAGCTGTCCCAACGACCCATCTGTGCCGCGCCAGTGCCACGAGTTTGGTCGCAGCACTCGTTGTCGTAAACACTCGTTGTGTGCAGCCATTCCAGTATTCACCACGAGACCGCACAAAGGAGGATGGCAGCCGCAACCACATCGATCTGCAAGTACACGTACAAGCCATGCACACATCCGCGGTCGGTCAAGCGCAATGGCACGCTGCATCTCCTCTGCGAATTTCACCGCAACAAGGCCAACGCGATCCAGAAAACGTACGCGGCCAAGAAACGTCAAAGGCGTAGCGAGACCCGGTCGTCGATTTCCAACGTCGAAGACGTCGGCAACGTTGTGCTCGACACCTTTGACTGGGCTTTTCTGGACGACATGATTCTCGCCATTCAGCGCGACATCGACCCGCTCTTCCCGTGCACCTGAGCCGCCGAGATCTGCCGTATTTAATTGCCAAATGTCCAATACTGCGTCGGCGGCCCGGTTGAAGGGCACGCCTCGACGCCGTCGTACGCGTCGATATATTATTGCAATGTCTTCAAGTTTTTTTCGGGATTTTCGTCGGAAATTCATCAAAATGGGCGTTTCCACGATGGACGCACGGGCAAAGAGTACGAGTTAGTGCCAGTGCATCATTATTTTTGGCCCCTGATTCGAAGCACGACACACGTGCCGACGGCAGAGATTGCGAGTTGCGCGCGAGTTCGACAGTGCGTAATGCTAGTGCGGTGGCTTCAAGCGCCTTCCATTCGCCTTTTGCCCATGTCCAGCGACGACGCGTTCTGCAAGTACACGTACAAGCCGTGCACGAACCAGCGTGTTATGAAGCGCAACGGAGGGCTCCACCTCCTCTGCGCCTTCCACCGGGACCGTGCCAATGCGATCCAAAAGATCCATGCCGCCAACAAAAAAAATGCGCCAAGCGCTTGCGACGATGGAACCGAGCGACTTCACCGGCCCCGACGACGGCTTTGACTTGGCGTCGGTCGTCGACGAAGACGAACTCCAATACCTCTGCGAGCTCCTCCTGAGCGGCGAGAGCGACGACGAATAGAGCCCGCGATCGCTGTACACTTCAGGTGTCATCGGCGTCTGACTTATCCTTCTAACTTTAAAACTACGTTCACGTGCCTTAAAAGCGCCTTGTTTTGGCGCGGGCTTTTTCGAGCAGCGGGATTGGCTATGAAACCTAATGTAAAAAGCATTGCTCAAATCAGTCGCTGCAGCGATGTCGCCATTAGGAATCTCCTGTGCGTTACGCCATCGTCAACTTCGCCCTCGTTGAGGTCCTCGCTGGCACTGCACGCGAAGTGCCAAAACCAGTCAGTTAGTAGGACCTCGTTCGTGGAAAGAAATACCAATCAAGCAACTTGTGCGTACCACTACCGCGATGATGGAAAGAAATACCAATCAAGCAACTCGTGCGTACCACGGCTCATGTCCGACCCTCCATGGACGACAGCCCTCAACAGGGTGGAACGGCATCAGGAAGGTTCATCATCCGACATCTGAAGGCTCATCAACTAACATCTGAAGGTTAATCAACCAGCACCATCTGAGCATCTCGAGGTTAATCAACCGAGCAAGTCAACGAATTACTCACACTTGGTCCACGACGCCGCGTCTTCCAGCTTCAAAAACACCAAACAATCTTATTTCATGGTCTGATCTCGGCGTGTATACTGTACCTCGAGACCAAATAGGTTACGAATCGGTGACTGGTCGAGTGCGATGACTTGCCTGAATACAGGCGCCGGCGACGTCGCAAAGGCGTCCTTGATGTGCTCGGGTCAAAACTGACAAGCTGTGACTTGATGGTTCCGATGCCAACGCCAATGGGAAAGAGAAGAAAGGGACAACACCTACGGGGCTCGAACCCCGCACCTCCTGCATGTGAAGCAGGAATCCACCGACTGGACAAAAGGTGGTCGACTAGGTGCTATCTGCATCTTGACAAAAACCTCGAAGTATTGGATGCCATCATAAGTACCAATATATATATGAGCGTGTTTCGCGTTATCTTCGTTGTTACAAAAAGTTCGCATACGTAGAGACTAGCAATCTCCTTCTTCTTCATTCACTCGCCAGGCCGTGGCTGCGCAGGCGGCGGCGCGGGGGTGCATCTTGCTCTTCTGTAGTCGCCCGGGGGCGCTTGCGGCCGCGGATGAGGCCCACGACGACAAGCTCCGTGAATTCCTTCCAGTCGTCGCGGTCGGCGGCAAAGCTACGCAGTTTGTTGAGGTCCTCGAGAGACGCCAGCGACTGAGGCGGCGTCAACAAGTACCAATAGTACGAAAATTGGTTCCGTGGGAAGGAGCCCCATGGTCCGACGACGTCTCTCATTCTGTGCCTATGGACCCTTTGTATGTACCAGCGAGCAACCATGAAACCCGGTGCTTGCGATTGGGCGGCATCGTTCGCTCACAGACGATTGTGGCTCTGCATCATCGCACATTGCACTTTGGACGCTAAACCGCCTGACGTTTCGAGCACCCACAAATATATTAGCGAGTCCACAACGTGTCATTCTACCTGGCGCTTCCATTGCTCGTTTGGGTAGCGGGTAGCTACGAAGCAAACAACCAAATGGTCGATCTTACGTGCGGTCCACGCCCCGTGTCTCACTGATCGGTGCCAGCTCAACGTTCCACCAGCGCACCGAGGTAGTTCTCATGTGCCAGTTTGCACCTTGTCGACACGCTTGGTAAGGTGCCAACCGCCCTCCTCGACGCGCCAGCCCAACTTTGCCTTGCTCTCACATTTCCTTGGCGCTCTGTCGCTTCTAATAGTCATGTGTTCCGGATGTGCCAGAGTCGGCGGTGCAACACAAACGACGCAGTGAGGGGAGAGCCATCTCCCAGAAAGCAACCACTTGTATTCCGCTACATACGCCACGAAGGCACGTTCGGAACTGATGCTATAAGGCTATGAGTGTCAGCGCTGTGGATAGAACAATAGGTTGTGCCGGATGAGACCAACTGAGAAAGTGAATCACTATCGTAAGGTCGCTATCAAACATCATCCTATCTACACCATGCACACAGACGACGCTGACTCTTGGCTACACTTCCTGGAGCTGAACTAACTCTCCAGAAAAAGATACACGCTTGCATTGGCTGGACATGGCTCAACTCAACTAGATAAAACGCTGATCGCCGCGAATCCATCACTTCTGTCTGCCTTGACGGAGTATGTGTCGAGGGTAAATCGGACTTGGACCCGTGGCCTCCATGTCGCTACTAACCGCTACGAGGAGCCATCGTCGTCGACCACAGGAGTCGCGAGAATTATTTTGCAGTCGCATGTGCCAACTGAGCTGGGATACGAAAAGCACGCGCCTCGTACGACTGCAGCCCTGGATTTACTGGCAATAATTCAAATAGGCAAAGCTAATATATTCACTTGGCGATTCATCTATCAGCACACGAGTGCATGCCCCAAGACATATTGAGCTGTGCGTGTCAAATCCATGTCCAACCGCAACCACACATCATGTTACGAAAAGCAGCTGCGCAAATCAATGCTACCAGCGCCTATGCAATCCTGCGAGGGAATGGATGCACGGCAAGCCACTACAGTACCTTTTGAGCCGTCCTACAAGACAAACGTATTTCTTTGCTGGTAGTAGTAGCCTGGCTCAAACAGCCACCGTAGCAACGACGGACACCCTCGGTCTTCATCAACATATCCTGTACTAGTAGCGTAAAATTGTGTGATAGCCAATCACTCACTTTGCCACAATTTTACACGTGCATTGGTCGTTGATTTGCGAACCGGTACCATCATAACACCACTCGTTGATCCGCCGTAGACACCAAAAGTATCACTCTATCGTGTTGTTTGGTTGGAATAGCACGTTTGGTTGGAATAGCACGTTGCTGCGACAGCGACGTACATACACCCGGCACGCTCCAAAATGCATGTATAGTTTATAAATCAAAATAGTTCAAATAGGATGGCATATTCTTCGTCCGTCAAGTGTGTCGTCGATGTCGACGATGTTGTTGTCGTCGACGGTGCCTCGTGCGCGTTCAGGATGGCTTCGAGGTAGGCCAATTCAATTGCATCCATCGGCAAGCTCGTCGGCGCCAGCTGCGGCGACGCGTTCTCGAGGGCGCGCCGCATCTTGCGCTTCTTGGCGTGGGTTTTTTTGGACCTCGTTGGCCTTGTCGCGGTGGTAGTCGCAGAGCATGTGGAGTTCGCCGTTCTTCTTGGTCGTGCGCGGGTTCATGCACGGCTTGTACGTGTACTTGCAGCGAA